AGAGAGGGGAAGGGAGGGAGATGGATGAAGAGAGGGAGAGTGGGGAAGGGAGGGAGATGGATGAAGAGAGGGAGAGTGGGGAAGGGAGGGAGATGGATGAAGAGAGGGAGAGAGGGGGGCGTGAGAAAAAGAGGAATGAGGAAAAGGTAGAAGGAAGGCAAGAGATGGGGAAAGGGAATGTAGTCAGAAGGGAAGAGGATAAGAGAGAGAGGAGAAGTGAGGGAACAGAAACATAGGGACAGAATGGAGAGGGAGAAGAGGAGATGGGTGCAAGATAACAGAAGAGGAGAGTGGAAGAATGTGAAAAGAAAAGGAGAGAGAAGATGAAGGGTAGAGGAGGGGGGTAGAAGGTAAAAGGCGGAGTAGGAGGCGGCAGAAAGAGGGATAGAAAAAGAAAGACAGAGGAAAGAGGAGCAGAGAAAAAAAGGAGGGAGAGGGGGGAAGAGAGGGAAGAAAGTAAGAAGGAGATGAAGAGGGAGGCACAAACAGGGAGGGAGAGAGAGTGGGAGGGAGAGAAGAGCGAGGGAGGTAGAGGATAGGGAAAAAGTTAGAAGAGGAGGACAGGAGGGAGAGAGAAGAGGGGGACAGGAGGGAGAGAGAGATTTGAAGTCATTACTGAACACGCAATGGGTTAATGGTTTCATGACTGGTTATGTTGATAAATGATCTGTTGTCAGTTCTTATACATTTGCTCTCCACGCTCGGCCCAGTCACACTCAGATATCATCTGATAACACACATTTTATGATCGGACACTTTGCTGGGACGTTTGCGCAGTCGGGGTGCGGTCGGTCACCACACATAGTTCTCTTAATAACAAACACATTCTGCCCCATGCTGGAAGTGATGTGAATCATCGCAGGAAGGAGGAGGAATGTCGGCTACAAATTCCACTAAAGGAAATTTACCATCCTTGTGGCTGCTGGGAGGCGGCTGGGAGCTTTGGAGCAGCAGAAAGAGAGAGAGAGCAATCTGCAAATGTCTGGTAACCCATAGCAACAAAGCTGCAGTTACCCTGCATTTTCAAACTGCTTAAACCGGATAAAATCTGGTTTTTGGTTACTTAATGTTGGATTTCTGTACAGTAAAGAACACTTTTACAGCTGTCATTAAAATATACAGGGGGAGATTTATAAAATCTGGAGCAGTTGCCTATAGCAACCAGTCAGTGTCTCTCTTCAGTTTGTTTAGTTAAGCTTTGAAAATGAAAGGTGGATGCTGATTGGTTGCCGTGCACAGCTGCTCCAGATTTTGATACATTCCTCTAACAGTGTTTTCTTTTTGGTTACGAGGGAAGCTTTAGGCCTGTGACACACTGCACGCAAAGCCGTGCAGAGCGAAGCAAAGCTGTCCGGCACGGAGCTTTGCGTGCAGTGTGCGAGCTGAGTGCAGGCAGATGATTGACTGCACCTTCAGCCAATCGGCTCGTGTGTAACAAGCGGCCAGACGATGCATTCATGACGCGCAGGTTTATACGCGCAAACCGATTGGCTGAAGATGAAATTTCTCATCTCGGCGCGTTCAGCTATGCGAGCTCTCGCAGGCTGACGTGTCGAGGAGAAAATTACATGACACACTGCTCGCGAAGGCAGCGCGACACCGCTTCGTGCTGCTTCGCGTGCAGTGTGTCACAGCCTTTACTGTAATTTTTGGTGACCCTAAAGTGGACCTGTCATTAGATAGATAGTTTGCATGTTGGTGCAGCATGCTCAGTAATGTGTCAGTGTAATCCCGCCCCCCCCAGGTATTTATTACTTCTCACAGAGATCACAGTGCTTCCCCTGACAATGCCTTCATCTGCTTTTCTCTCCAGAAGGACGGAGCCCTCTTTGTTTAGCCATCATCCAGGGTCACCCTCTACTTCCTGGACTGAAATTCCTGGACTGAAAGACCCTGGTGTATGTGCACTTCCTGATTGTGTTCACAAATGTTTGACACAGATCAGTACCTACTATATCATTGTGTGACAGGGAAATGTCAAACCTTCACTTCTACTTCAGGTCAAAATCGCATGGAATGCTTTTATGTAAAAGACAACCTGACCCGAGTAAATACATAGAGGGGGATTTATCAAAACTGGAGCAGACAAAATGTGGAGCAGCTGTGCATGGCAACCAATCAGCTTCTCTCTTTCATTTTCATATCTTAACTGAACAAATTGAAGAGAGAAGCTGATTGGTTGCCATGGGCAACTGCTCCACATTTTGTCTGCTCCAGTCTGATAAATTCACCTCAGAGTTTATCATTGCTGACCTACTTGTGGAAATGCTCATTGCCTGGCTGTCATGCTAAGCCTGCGGTTTCGCTATGATCTGAAATTTTCTGACCTGAGACAAGCAGCCAGCTGGTGAAGTTAGGACTTCACATCTCTGTACTTGTTCTGGGCCTATGACAAAGTATTGAAGCCAATGGATCAACATGACAATGAAGTTGAGCAGGGCAGCTGTTTCTTTGATTAAACACAGAACTTGGTGCTAAATATATACAATTAGCAGAATGAATATGAAATAAAATGTCAGCCCCGCCGTGTCTCCCCCGTACACTTACATCCCGCGATAGACGCCTTGCCCTTGCTGGTTCTGTAGTCGTGTCTTGGCCAGATCTATCGGGAAGACGCAGGTGACTCCCACCAGGCCGGCGATGCCGCCATTTATCAGTTTGGCCGGTAAGCTGAAACACAGAAATGTTCTTATTAGCGGGGATCTCGGGGAGCGGACAGAAAGACAAACGTCCAGAAACCTGCAAATGGGATTTCCTACATGACAAAATGCACCAGTTCACAGAAGTGTGCTGCCAATCACCAGCAACCGCATAATAATGTGATCTCTCATCAACTGCCACCTGGAACTGGTCATGTGATCTCTAATTAGCTGTGCAAACTATTGCCGCTATATAAATCCTGTATAATAATAATAACTGTAACTCGCAACTTGTCCTTTGATCTCGCATCAACTGCCACCTGTGACTTGTCATATGATCTCTCATCAACTGCCACCTGTGACTTGTCATATGATCTCGCATCAACTGCCACCTGTGACTTGTCATATGATCTCGCATCAACTGCCACCTGTCTCTACACCATGGACCGCTAGCCGCAGTGAAAAAAGGTCTTCTATGCCCGATCCTGGCAGCTGCAAGGGCAGTAATACCAAGACACTGGAAGTCAACTAGCCCCCCCCAGATATCAGAATGGGTGGAAGAACTTAATAATGTTATGCGATTTGAGGAACTCACATCTCGCCTACATAATAGATATATGACATTTAGGGAGAGGTGGAGCCCCTGGAGGGACTATATGAGTTCACCAGAGATTCTGGGATACTTATAAAGACTAGGAGGAGGAGGGTGAAAGAAGAGGAAGTAGAAGGATGTAGGAGTGTGAATGTAAAAAAATAAGGGGAAACACCATACCTAGACTCCGATCAACTAATTAAACTCTCTGTCGACTTAACTCCCCTGTTTTTTTCTCTTTTTAAAAAAAAATATCGAATATACCTATAATGCCCTTGTGGATGCCAAAGTATGACTGAGTTGGGGGTGAGGAAGAAAGGTATGAATGGTACGTCTTGTCCATATGTTGTGTGGTAGTGATCATGTAGAGGGAGTGATATGACTGGGATAATAAATCATATACGCAATATGTAGTGTGTTAAGTGTTAAATAAATGAATTGTTTCTGAAGATATTTTTGTAATCTGTGAAATATGAAATTAATAAAGAAATATTTAATTCAACTCCCACCTGTGACTTGTCATATGATCTCTCATCAACTACAACCTGTGACTTGTCATATGATCTCGCATCAACTGCCACCTGTGACTTGTCATATGATCTCGCATCAACTGCCACCTGTGACTTGTCATATGATCTCTCATCAACTACAACCTGTGACTTGTCATATGATCTCGCATCAACTGCCACCTGTGACTTGTCATATGATCTCGCATCAACTGCCACCTGTGACTTGTCATATGATCTCTCATCAACTGCCACCTGTGAATTGTCATATGATCTCGCATCAACTGCCACCTTTGACAGGTCATATGATCCCTCATCAACTACCACCTGCGACTTGTCATGTGATTTCTCATCAAATGACACTTGCAGCTGGCCATGTGATCTCTCTTCAACTGACACTTGCAGCTGGCCATGTGATCTCTCTTCAACGGACACCTACAGCTGGCCATGTGATCTCCCATCATCTTTCTCCTAGAACCGGTTGCGTGGTCTCCTACCAACTATCATCTAGGACTAATCATGTGAAATCTAATCAACTGGTCATGTGATCACCTTTATAAAATGCCAATTTGTGACTTGTCATGTGATCACTCATCAACCTCCATTTGGATGTCATCATGTAATCTCTCATCAACCTCCACCTAGTCATGTGATCTTCCATCAACTGCTACTTGGACAAGCCAAGCACTGCGATATGTCATCATCTACAACACCTCATGTGATCGTCTCCCACCTAGATCTGGTTAGGTGATCCCTTTTCAACTGCCACCTGGATCCGGTTAGATGATTCCCACTCAACTGCCATTTAGAACAGGTCTTGAAGTGTCTCATTTACGGACACCTGGATTTAAGTCATGTGATTTCCTATCAACTGCCGCCCCACAACTTCAAATATAAATTTATATGTAAACCATTAATATAGTCTTAAACCATGTAGTGCGAGGGCCTGTCCAATCTGATTGCATGGATTGTTTAGGTTCATCCTCGTGTTACATAGTTTTTGGTACAGCTAAAGGGACTCTACAGAGATTGTACAATCAGATTGTATGGTGTAGGGCCAGCGTTACAATTCTATAGCTAATCACAAATCATCAGTGAACTACAGGTGCCATACTGAATCACTGAGCGTGATGTAACTGGGCAGACATCTGGAAATGGTGATCTTCAGAAAGGTGTGACATGTATAATATTTTTGTGTCAGCCATCTGTATATAAAATAAAGTTAATTCATTCAAATATATGGCACTACCATACTCCATGGCGCAGTACAATAGCGTCACTGACCTGATCTGCTCAGGCATGGTGCTGCTGTTTTACAGGTTGGGGTCGGGTGTCCTTTGTCGCTCTCGGGCTGCTCAGCTGAAGGATAAAAATAAATAAATAATAAATAAAATGAAATAAATAACGTAAAATGCAAATAAAAACAAAAACTTTTTTTCCTCGACAACATTCAGCAGATTATCACTGTATAGCAGTTTAGGAAAAGACGTTTGTGGGAAAAATCCAAATACTGCAACTAAAAAAAGGGTGAAATGTCATCTTTGGTTACCGCGTGCATCATAAAATCTATAGGGATATCCATAGCCCGGGCCTCCATCTCACTAGGGTTGCCACCTTTTCTTTCAGCGAAACCCAAACACTCTAGCGACTCACGGAAGTTTTTTTGGGAGAATGAGTCATGGCTTATTCTTATGTGACTATCACAGACTGTTTGCAGTGGGGAGCAAGAAGGCAAGTATCTTAATTTTGGTTGCCCCGGTCTTCAAAACCTGGACTGTCTGGGTGAATCCCGGACAGGTGGCAACCCTAGATCTCACATCTATGGGTCTTGTACAACTGTGCGTTCGAGAGGAGTATAAGGGTTGTAGCTGGGCCCCCCGGACATGCACTGCGCCCTCAGCTCCTTCCTAGGTCCCACTATAGTGCCAAATCCCAACCTCTACCTCTGGGATTCGTGCCTGTAACTGTCAGTCTTGCAATGCCTCATGGGACTTGTAGTTCCACAACATCTGGAGGGCCGGAGTTGCCCACCCTTACACTATAGTGTCAAATATTGTATCCTGGTCCCTGTATGGTGTAAATTCCTGTACTCACAGTATTTAGTATATGATTTTTTTTTTTCATGCTTCATTTATATTATTCTACACATAGAGGCCAAACTGCCCATTAAAAGTGACAGTCACAGGGCCTGGGACATACCATATAACACTGCCGGGGGGGATTTACAACAGTCAGCTTTTATTCATATGGTTTAAACCTTTTTATCAAACAAGTTGTTGTAAATGTTTAAAGCAGACCTCAATGGCTCTACACGGCTTCAAGGAAATGCTCCCCCGATGCTAATCATCCATGTTGATGACGGAGACCACAGAGGGGATCAATGGCCGTCCTCAGTGCGGGGTCCTTTGCTGTCATGGGAACTCTGTGACCAAGTGACTGGCAGGCATGTGACCGCAGTAAACACTCTTATCTGCAGGGGGATGAGAGCCCAGGACTGGATCTCAGATACGTCAGTGCCTCTTCCCTCGGAGTTTTTGCACACCATACCAACTATTGCAGTGGTGGGACCTTTGTCCCGGTGACCCGGCCAAAGTCAGAGGACACCTGTACCCAACACAGACAACACTGATGGAATCAGGTATGACACATATTCAATAGGGGGAATCTATCAAACCTGGAGCAGTTGCCCGTCGTAACCAATCATTCTCTCTTTAATTTTTTAAAGCTTAACTGAGAAAACTGAAGAGAGAAGCTGATTGGTTTATTAACAGAATGCTTATATATGAAGCCTGATCATAAATGACCTCCGTGCTTAGGTGGCAGGTACACTTGCCCTGACTGGGAGCCCCAATCAGGGCATGACAGGGTTACCCGTAGTGCCCCATCACTGGCGCCACAGAATCGGTGTGCTCCCTCTTTGGGCACGTTGCCCTCTGGCCTGGCTGCTCCAGAATAAACCGAACAAAAACCTGCAGCCGTGGAAACCCTTTTGCTGCGCTGCCCATCGCCATGGAGACCAGCTACAGTCCAAATCTAGGCCCGGCCCGAAGCCTTTGTGACAAGGCGCCAGTGAAGGGGCACTGAGGTGACGTTAACCCTCTCCCCTCAGTTTTGCCCTTACTATTTACACCAGCCTGGCCCTGCCCACTGCGCGTTTCATGGTTGTCGCATTGCACAGCGCGTTCCGCGTGGATAATAGAATTGGATTTATTGTATTAATAAATGTTTTTAGAACGCTCTGCGGTGAATTGTGTGGCAGAGAATTGCTTTAGGTCATCACATTGTCTGCCTCAGCCACCCTGGCAGCCTGCCACCGACGTCAATAAAACACGCCTTGGTGGTGGCGGCGGCTCATGGGGAATCTATATGTTATTTTATTCCTTTATGGGTCGGGCGGCGTACGATCAGAGGACCTGCTGGGGCTGGTAGTTCCTCCGCAGCTCCCCACATGACACTACATTGGTTCAACAAAGGATATTGATGAAACTTGATTGGATGTTCCAAAGTTTGTTTATCGATTGTCTTATATCAATTAATTGTTGTAGTTGAAGCATTACATGTATGGCCGATATAAAATCTTTCAGATGATAAACTACAGCAGTGTTGGGCAACCTCAGCACCCCAGCTGTGCTGCGACTACATATCCCATGATGCCTCTGCATATGGGAGTCATGCCTGTGGCTATCAGAGCCTTGCAATGCCTCATGGGATTAGTAGTTCCATAGCAGCTGGAGTGCCGAGGTTGCCCACCCCTGCCCTAGAGCCTGGGGACATGGTGCCGGCTTACTGCAAGGCTTGCAACAGACAACAGGAAGCGTCAGAAAAATATAAATCGGGTCTAACGATGTTTTATAGTGACCCAGCCAAGAGGAGGAGAAGGAACTACAGCAGGAGGGGAGCAACCCTGGCCTTGGGACTTGTAGTTCTACAATAGCTGGAGGGCCAGAGTTGCCCATCCCTGGCCTACAGGTAACTGCATGGGGTGCACATTGGGGGGGAATGCATAAAAACTGGAGCAGACAGAATCTGGAGCAGTTGTCCATGGCAACCAACCATCTTCTCTGTCTCATTTTCCAAGCTTAACTGAACAAACTGAAAAGAGAAGCTGATTGGTTGCCATGGGCAACTGCTCGTTTTGATCAATTCCTTTGTTGCATCATTTTAACCCTTTCCACACACGGATCGCCTTATACCATCCGTCCGAAGGAATTCGGATTATTCCTTGCTATATAAGCCTACTTCCTCCATACATGACCCTGTGCGGAATGTACCCCCCTCCTCCTATAGTACAGGCGCAGGGGAGGCACATGACTGCACAGGCCCCACTTTCATTTTCACACTTCAGTAGACTGCAGATAAGGATCTGTTCAATGGCAGTGATCACTGACCTGCAGAGCTTACAGTCAACACAGCTTTATTGTAACTGGAAGTGTATTTGTTGTAAGTGACCTGGGCGATCTGCGCGGCTTGGGGGAGGTTCTGGCCAGTCTGCAGCCGGGAATACGCGGTTATACTTTCATAGAAACGTTTGTATGAGAAAGGAACATTCGATAACGCCATCGGATGTGACGAATGTCGCTCAAAGTTCCGATTGATTGTAACATTCGATTTTGGAATGAATGGAATTTCCCGAATGAAAACCACATTGGGGGGAATTTATCAGACTGGAGCAGTCAGAATCTGGACCAGCTTTGCACGGCTCAAATCAGCTTCTCTCTTCAGTTTGCTCAGTTGAGATTTGAAAATGAGCGATAGAAGCTGATTGGTTGCCATGCAAATCTGCTGCAGATTTTGTCTGATCCGGTTTTGATAAATCCCCCCCATTGAATTTAATTTGTTCCAGAAAATGTTTTCATCCCGCTCCTAGAGTCGAAATTGATCATCAATACGAGCCCATCAACTATTAGAAAATCGAACGAGCGTTCCTAAAATAATCGAAATTCCAATCGTCTATACCCAGCTTTCCATACAATCAGGCCGCAGACAGGCGGTGTCCATGTTCCAATTATCTTGTACACAAAGGAACAATTGTTTGCACTGGAACAATTGCTATTATTTTAAAGGTAAGAAGGTTCCAGAGGTGTCAGACACCCGGGCGACCCGACCATGCATGTTTATGGACCTGTCTGGAATCATGTCCTCTTGTGTCTATGGGCAGACATACACTCTTAGAGTTCTCCCGCTCAGCCTAGTGATAGTATAGATTCCCCCATCCATGCTAAAGAGTGTGGAAGGAGGAACCTCCCCTGTCGGCTATTGTATTCTGACAGCCGGTGCCCACAGCTCTCTGAATACTCAAACAGTGGCTGAAACAGTGACCCAGCTTGCGTCCTGGCAGTGAGATCATTAACTGGTATGTTCCTTTAAATCCGTACAGGTTCTTAAAGATTCCTTTCTGTCCAGCAGTAAAAGCTCGCAGGAGACGTCTCTACAGAGGAGCATAGCATGTCTTTACAGTTCCCCTGTGGTACCAAGAAAAGTGTACGCATCCTGCTGGACAAAGGGAACACTTAACGAGCCTGCACACACAGAAGTGATCAAAATGGGGTTATAGATCTTTTGTATGAAGTTACAATGTCACAAAACAACTAAAAGCTTTATCGTCACTCGGCTCTGAGACAAAGGTTGTACGGCGCATACAGAGCATTTGACAGTTTGACAGAGAGATGACTTAACACAGAGACAACCTAATGCAGAGACGACCTAATGCAGAGACGACCTAACACAGAGACAACCTAACGCAGAGACAACCTAATGCAGAGACAACCTAATGCAGAGACGACCTAACACAGAGACAACCTAATGCAGAGACGACCTAACACAGAGACAACCTAATGCAGAGACAACCTAATGCAGAGACGACCTAATGCAGAGACGACCTAACACAGAGACAACCTAATGCAGAGACGACCTAACACAGAGACAACCTAATGCAGAGACGACCTAACACAGAGACAACCTAATGCAGAGACGACTTAACACAGAGACAACCTAATGCAGAGACGACCTAATGCAGAGACGACCTAACACAGAGACAACCTAATGCAGAGACGACTTAACACAGAGACAATCTAATGCAGATACGACTTAACACAGAGACAACCTAATGCAGAGATGACCTAACACAGAGACAACCTAATGCAGAGACAACTTAACACAGAGACAACCTAATGCAGAGACGACTTAACTCAGAGACGACCTAATGCAGAGACAACTTAACACAGAGACAACCTAATGCAGAGACGACTTAACACAGAGACAACCTAATGCAGAGACAACTTAACACAGAGACAACCTAATGCAGAGACAACTTAACACAGAGACAACTTAACACAGAGACAATCTAATGCAGAGACGACTTAACACGGAGACAACCTAATGCAGAGACAACTTAACACAGAGACGACTTAACACAGAGACAACCTAATGCAGAGACGACTTAACACAGAGACAACCTAATGCAGAGACAATCTAATGCAGAGACGACTTAGCACAGAGACAACCTAATGCAGAGACGACTTAACACAGAGACAACCTAATGCAGAGACAACTTAACACAGAGACAATCTAATGCAGAGACGACTTAACACGGAGACAACCTAATGCAGAGACAACTTAACACAGAGACGACTTAACACAGAGACAACCTAATGCAGAGACGACTTAACACAGAGACAACCTAATGCAGAGACGACTTAACACAGAGACAACCTAATGCAGAGACAATCTAATGCAGAGACGACTTAACACAGAGACAACCTAATGCAGAGACGACTTAACACAGAGACAACCTAATGCAGAGACGACTTAACACAGAGACAACCTAATGCAGAGACGACTTAACACAGAGACAACCTAATGCAGAGACGACTTAACACAGAGACAATCTAATGCAGAGACAACTTAACACAGAGACAACCTAATGCAGAGACGACTTAACACAGAGACAATCTAATGCAGAGACGACTTAACACAGAGACAACTTAGAACAGAGGCAACCTAACACAGAGGCAAGTTAACAAGAGACAAGTTACCTTTTAAGGATGTGGGGTGGTTTCTGTGCACAGCTTACAGTTGGCGACTCTTCTGCGCGTATCTCAGCAGATCTGCCATACAAAAACAAAGTTTAAATAAATCCCAAACTTCCAGAGGATGTGAATATTCCTGATGCAGCAGAATCTGATGTCTCTCTTACCTGGTAGGCCAGCACACGGCTCCTGCTCAGTGCGGTCACCTGGATTTGTCACCCAAATAGTCCCCCGGCCTCTCCTCTCTGCAACTTTTTTTCTGCAACATTCAGATCCCTCTTTTTGCAAATCTCTGGGTTTGGCCTCTGGGAGGGACAGGAAAAAGGGGGAGGGGAGGAGAGAGGCTCCTCGCATACAAAGCTGCCTTCAGAGTTTGTTGTTGACCTAAAACAGGTTTACAGATTATCCCACAATTGCCCCGATTACTGTACATAGTTCATGCGGAGCACAGAACGCTTCTTCTGGATTCTCCTAAAACTTGATAAAGTCACTTAATGATCAGCAGAGCGGAGGAAGGAAATGAGTTGTGTTGTGTACAGTATCCTGGAGACGTTGCTCCCCCATGTTGTGTGTGTGTGTATATATTGTGTACCGTATTTGCCGGCGTATAAGGCGACTGGGTGTATAAGACGACCCCCTAATTTTCCACTTAAAACATAGGTTTTGGGCTATACTCGTCATATAAGACTATCCCACTTCCGAGGCAACACCATTTAAAAACATCATGGATGGATGTGCGGTAATACTGTGTGTACGGTAGCTTCAGCTACATACAGTACACTCATTTATACAGTATTCTATTAATGAATACAAAGCTTGCTTGGATTGGCAGAGGTTGTGTACATCGCTCACCGTGATTGGCTCAGCTACTGTTTGTAGCCAAATCTACCGTACATACAGTATTACCGCACATCCAGCGGGCTGACAGATTAGGGATGTTCGTTTTGGGCCAGCTTGGCCTAAACGAACTGAAGGTATACATTGTATACCCCGCGTATAGGACGACCCCCGATTTTCAGGGGATGTTTTTAAAGGAGAACTATGGGGTCAGGGCTTTTCCCCATAGTTCTCCTTAGGGTAACGGGAGGACACAAACTAGCGTCCTCCCGTCACCCTAAGCTCAGTATACCGCGAGCTACAGCTATACTGAGACGCCGGAGTGGATCCCGACATCGATGTCGAGATCCGCCCAGCTGCGTGAGTGACAGCTGGCTCTGCCTATCTAGAGGCAGATGTGTTCCCTCACCTCCCGATCTACTGAGCCGACCTGTGACAGTCTCATTGTCACAGGCCGGCTAGAACTATGAGGTGAGTAAAAAGCACTCGCCTCATAGTTCTCCTTTAGGTATAAAGAATAATCTTATACGCCAGCAAATACAGTACATGACATGACGTGTCAGTTCCCCATAACAAATACACGTGAGAACTAGAGCCAGAGGGTTTGTTTTTTTGTTTTGTTTGGGTGAACTGTGCAAGGATGCGAGTCCCTGTCATGTTATTTTGGGTGTCCCCAATGGGGCGATTCACGATGATTGTCCTGTTGTCACCGGGACGTACAGTCAGGGGAAATCCAACATTTTACACCTGGCACTAAAACAGGAAGTGAAGGCAAAGCTGTCTATACACCAGTAGATTTCCGGACAAACGTTCATACGAACGATCTTCCTTCACCACCAGATAATGCCATCAGACACTTGAGGAACGTCGATCAAAATTTCGTTTTGATTTGAACATTCGATTTTGGAACTATTGTAGTTTGCCGAACGAAAACCACACTCTCTGTAAGCCCTCATTCACACTAGAAACGGCCGGCACGTATAGCTCAGTGCTCCGTGCTGCATGCAGGGCCGTATCGGGCAGCTCCCGGGAAGGACAGGTGCTGCGTGTGATTATTACGCAGCCCCTGTCCTTCTCTATGGTAGTACGCGGCTGTACGCTGCCCTACGCTCACCCCAAGTGCAGGTCCGTACGAGTGCGTGTTTCCTGGCTCGGACGCAGACTGGATCCATCCTGTCAGCGTAGGAGTACGGACACCTGTACGGACCTGCACTTTAAGTGAGCGTACGGCCACATACACCCCATAGAGAAGGACAGGGGCCGCGTACTAATCACACGCAGCACCTGTCCTTCCCGGGAGCTGCCCGATACGGCCGTGCACGCAGCACAGAGCTGTATGTGCCGGACTTTTCTAGTGTGAATGAGGGCTTAGAGTTTCGTTCAATCGGGAATCATTTTCCATCCTACTCCTAACTTCGTCACTACGGTCAAATTGTTCGTCGATTTAATCCCATCAACTAATAGAAAGTCAAAAGAAAGTACTTTTGGAAATCAATCTTCCAATGGGGGGCACTTGTTCCAGTGACAACTAAAAGCTGATTTTCTCTCACTTTCTGTTGTGCCTTAGGGACTGGAAGTGCTGAAATATATTCCCAAGAGGACACAAAATAAAACTGGCCATTGGGGTTACTTTCTTACTTTTATGATCTAACACTAAAGATATACTTCAAAGAGGATGCTATGGGTTGTTTCAATTAAGAACATATTTGAGTTAGTATTGCAAAGTGTGACCTGGGCTGCAACTTGTCTACAACCTCTAAGTTATAGAAGGCCCCCAATTTTCAGGTGAACAAGCCCCTCCCATCCTCATGGGTATAAACAGGAATGCTTGCGTTCATGGACCTGCCAGCCGATCCTAGATTGGGCATACAGTACATATGCAACCAGAAAGCACTAACCACGTACGGTATATCAGAAAACAGCTGGGCACACATGCAGTCTGACTGTTTCACAATGCTGTATGACCCAACATAAATAACAGTGGCATGGAGGATGTACATGTGTACCTAATAAGGCAAGGGCGGGGGTGCACACTGTCCTGCTGCTGGCCTATCAAAGATGAAACAAGAGAAGGTTGTCTAACCTGTCCATTCGCTTTGTCCCCAGAAAATGATTGTTCGGGTCTGCAGTGGAGGAGCGTGGGTTGTCAGCTCCCAGGCAAAATGTGATATTTCCCTTTTGAAATAGAAAAAGAGATTGAGGACACAGTCTTCAGTCTCTTTTTCTACAGCCCGAGCACTGAATGAACAGGAAGCTCTCAGTATAGAGGCTTCCTATTCATTCACTAACTTAGCAGACATAGTACTGTCCCCAGTTATGAATGGACAGGAAGCCTCTGTACTGAGTGCTCCTGTTCATTCAGAAAGTAAGTGATTACTATGTCTCCAATCATGAATGAACAGGAAATTATGTGTAGCACTTCCTGTTCATTCACAACTGGGGACATAGTAAGCTTATCATGTCCTCAGTTATATACAAAGGAGTGATCCGTAATGACCACTCCGGTGTTTGCTCAGTACATGGAACATCAGCAAATAATTCACAGAGTTCTGGTACGGATACCACTCAGAGGAGACAGACCTGGGGGCAGCAGCATGGGGCCTATAGAGCTTTTCATCTCTCAGGTAAACACCTATTTTATGGAATTCTTATTGATTGCCAATGAAAGGGGATAGACACCACTGACCACTCTGTCCAGTGTATACACCTGACTGCTGCACTTTGCAAGCTGTGTATTATATTCTCCTGATCACTGCACTCTGTAAAATGTCGAATGCATTGCTTAATCCTGACCACTGTACTCTGTAAGATGTCCAATGCACTGCCTAATCCTGACCACTGTACTCTGTAAGATATCCAATGCACTGCCTAATCCTGACCACTGCACTCTGTAAGATATCCAATGCACTGCCTAATCCTGACCACTGCACCCTGTAAGATATCCAATGCACTGCCTAATCCTGACCACTGCACTCTGTAAGATATCCAATGCACTGCCTAATCCTGACCACTGCACTCTGTAAGATGTCCAATGCATCGCTTAATCCTGACCACTGCACTCTGTAAAATGTTCAATATTTTGCTCTATGCTGCACTTTGTAAACTGTGCATTACAGTCTCCTGACCACTGCACTCTGTACTGCACATTATATAGTCCTGACTGCCATACTTTGTAAGCTATGATGCATGTTACATATTCCTGACCACTGCACTCTGCAAGATTTCCAGTGCATTGCATAATCCTGACCACTGCAGTCTGTAGGATGTCCACTGCATTACATAATCCTGACCACTGCACTCTGTAGGATGTCCACTGCATTGCATAATCCTGACCACTGCACTCTGTAGGATGTCCACTGCATTACATAATCCTGACCACTGCACTTTGCAAGATGCCCAGTGCATTGCATTATCCTGACCACTGCACTCTGTTGCACAGTCCTAACTGCTGCACTTTGTAAGCTGTGCATTATATATTCCTTACTGCCGTACTCTGTAAACTATGATGTGCGTTACATATTCCTGACCCCTGCACTGTGTAAATTGTGCCTTACATGATTATATAGGGTGTTCCCAGGTCTTTCACAACCATTGCAACTCCCAAGTGAACTGTACATTGCCAAATCATTCCTAATGTCCAAAAATGCATACATCTGCTGCTGGCGGGTACAAGATCAGTGAATTCGTATTGTAACCTGAATAAGGATTCACCTGGCTGGAAAATTCCGGCTCCAAAAATAATTTATTTGAGTGACATTATTCTATTGATGATCTTTGTCCGACAAGTGGAAAAGCAGAACATTCTTCTGACCGTTACTGTGCACCCTAAAGAGCATGGAGCGCGCTGCTATATTCAGCAACTGTCACAGATCTGTTTATGGAAAACATTCAGGAAAATATAGAAAAGCGTGCGAGAACATGAAAGGAACATAAACTGCTTTTAGGTAAATGTTGCAATCATACTGACTCAGAATACAGCAGACTGAGCGCCAGCAATAGAGGGGGAAATGGTACATCATGGAAAATACATTACAAAAAAAAAAAGGCAGATTGTTTTGTAGCATTTAAAAGAATAGTTAAAAGGAGAACTATGAGGCGAGTGCTTTTCACTCACCTCATAGCTCTAGCCGACCTGTGACAATTGTCGCGATCCGCTTCAGCTGCGGCGTCTCAGTATACCGCAAGCAGCAGCTAGCACTATA